AATAATAATAACAATAACAAATCTATCAAAATAACACACAGATACATCAATGTGTTAAACGAGAATTAACTAAACGTTAACAATGTTACATTCTCTCCAATCAATGCGCTATGTATTATTGATGTGCAAGCTATTGGGGAGCGTTACGGTTAAGCTGAAATTCATCGTGCGAACGCATGAATTTTACGAGTTTTTAAGTGTTCGATTGCTTGAACGTTGACGAAATTTTAGTGAGTCGTGGCAAAATGACCTTTCTTTTCAGGGAAATTGGAAAGGTGGGAAGTATTCATTAATTCGCATTTCATGTAATTGTTTCATGGTTTTGTCTCGTTTTTTTGAGCAAAGCTTTTCAATTTTGTTTCATGCTAGCCCTTTGCATCTCGTTTAAGCGTTAGCTGTTTTATTAGTCACGTGATGTGATGCTAAAATTTTCGTCTTCATCTTAAAATGACGTATCTTCATTAATTAATCATGTACGTATTCCTTTATCGATATGCTCATTATGAAGGCCACATAGCCGTTTAAATATTGTCTAACTTAAGTTAAGATAGAGNTGTTCATGAGGAAATCAAGGCAGTGTTGCCGTTAAAGTAGAGTATCTCTTGAGATTTTCTGCAAAGTTGTTACGTGCCCAGATTTCCATGTAACCGTACCAAAACAAGTAAATTGTTACCTTTAGATGAATAAAACTGTATCCAATGCTATCAAAAAAGTCAAAAACACACACACAACCGTTTTATCTCCTCACACTTTTTTCTTCTGCATTTCGCCAGCTACTCCTCACATATGTACTTGGAATGAAAATTTCTCTCTCATGCGTTATTTAAATTTTGATCAATCCAACGGAATTATCGATCTCGAATAGAATTCCGCATCGCGCAATCACTCAAAAATTTTCTTGCCTGGTCATATCACTGATCATTTGATTTGAAAGTTTCTGCGAAGTGTTGGAATGTTTGCCTCGATGTTCGCAATAGATCTGAATTAAAACGCAAATCCAACACAATAAATTTTTAAAAGTCGATGTACTTGAGACTTCGCGTGCTGTGAATAATTCAGTGTGAAACAGTACACAATACACTTGAAATCTTGTGCAAGATATTTGAGGATTTCAAAGGTTTGGAGTATATGTCACAGGGTGACAGATTTTTTCGAGTTCCCAAATTTCTGAGCTGCTATTCAGAGGAATATGCCTCCTGGTTAACCAACAACCTCTGAGTAATTTTGCTTTAGAAAGATTAATTTGAAGGGTAGCTGGGCCAATTTTTTCGGCCAAGGTGCCTCATGCGCGATTGTCGAATATCGGAATTCTTAAGGTGTCATCCGTCAAACGAATGCCCTCCGATATAAAAGCAGTCTGTGTGAAATTTCGGTTCAAAAAATTTGGTATGAAAAGTTACTGGGTCGAAGTGTTGTTTTTGCCAAAGGCATCTAAGCGGACGTTTTAGATAGTGCTACCTTATAGGCTAATTTTTTTGGACCTTCACACATTATGTTTCCAGTCCAAAAGTATCATTTTGAACGGTGAGGTGGAAAATTTTCGGAATTCCAAAATTACGCATTAATACGCTTAAGGCGGGAAATGTTTACCCGAATGATTTTGTAATCTGTTATTTTGCAACGAAATTTCGCATAACTTGCTACGCTAAAAAAGCATTTTTCTGAGCTGTGACCCGTAGTTTTCAGTGTTTCAATGTTTTTTCCATGGAGAGATTTGTCACCTTAATGTATCGGTCATTGGAACGACCCTATTAATATGCACGCAATGTATTCTCTTATTTTTTAAATGAATGTTTTATATCGAAAAATTCAATCAAAATCAGTTGAAGTTGTTTCATATTTCAAAGTTTCGAGTTTGTTCAGGTGAGATATTGGTAGTTTTTGAATCTTTGCAATACATAAAGCAATGGCGAATTCAATTCAAAGAAAGATTGCGCTCATGGGCTACCCGTGTGTTGGTAAGTTGTGTGATATTAGATGTGTAAATGCCATTTTGCAAATATTTTTAGAAGCTGATTATTATTTACAAGATTATATTCTCACATTAATCTGTTGCAGATCTTACAGTCAAACTAGGTCTGTTGCAAATCTTAAAAAAACAGTCAAATTAGGAACTGGAAACAGTTTTAGAGTACCTAAGAGCTCATTTTGTGAACCTTTTCAAAAATATCTTTAAAAATATTGCTTTCGGATCTTGTTCATTGAAATTTCCCAAACTAGAAATTCTAATGAGGCAGTAAAATTTCCTTCTTTGAAATTTCATTTCTTTTCCCTCAAACTGATGAGGCAGTAAATCGCAGAGTTTTAGATGTCCCCGTCAAGATGTCGAAAACTACGAAATTTAAACTAAATTGAGTTGGGTCTTAAGCTGACGCCTGGCCCTGATTTAATGCCTAACACGAAATTTTCATCTCTTCTGGGAGGCGCCTGTTAATCATATTGTCATTGGGAGAAAAGGGCAACGATGATATAAGATAAGGCAAGATGTCACGGAAGTTCCGTAATTCATCAGAACAATGACATTTTGAGTGGGATGAATGCATTGACGTGAGTAGAAACGAATTTCTGAATGGAATAAACTTTCAGGTAAGTCATCAATAACGTTAAGATTTGTGTATGGAAGCTTTCCGGATGCGTATGATACCACAATTGAGGACATCCATACAAAACAGCATCGTTTCAATGGGAAAGAGTTTACGCTGCAAATTACGGATACCGCTGGACAGGTACATTAGCTCATCGAATTATCAGTTCTCTTCTATTTCTTTTCATTCATTTTCGTACTCCACTTCAACCAGTTTTCTATTCCAGCAAGAATATTCACTATTCCCACGTAGCTGTTCGTTGGATATCGATGGATATATTCTTGTTTATGCTATTGATGATCGCAAATCGTAATTTTTTAAAACTTTCTTTGCATTTTTTTCGAAGTTGATCCTTTTCATCAATCATTCCAAGTTGGATACAAATGTTTTACTGACGTTTAAAATGCATTCGATTAGATTTTACGACTTCTCACCAACTTATTTCCATTGGGTTACGAGAAATGAATTAAAATTTTATTATTCCTGTGAAACGTACTTTTCAGTTTCGAGATAATACAAACAATTCATGACAAAATATTGGAGAACTACGGCGATAAAGAGTAGGTTTTTGACGGTTTTTAAAATTTATTTGATCATTGAAAAAGTTCCCAATCTCAGAAAATGAAAATTATCGTATTAGTTGGTAGTGGTGGCAACCGGCGAAGTTCGGTTGGTAAAATGTGATGAAATTCGATCGGAATATCGAACTTCGGAGTTTTGAAAAGTTGGTTCGATGGGATTCTTTCGATTACCACACCTATTAATTAGTTGCATCTCATCAGTCGTTACTACTATTCGTTCTGCTTCATCATGGCAAATCATTTTTTCTTGTTTCATGGCAAATCTAGGAGAAGATTCCCTCGAAGGAATCGTTCATGGAAATGTTGTAAGTTCTTGAAAATGCGGTTGAAATATTACATCAAAATGAAGAATTTTTCTTTCGTCTTGTTAAGTATTGCAGTTATTGTGCTTGTTGATGTAACCGCTGCAGTTTATTTTTTGAGATATGCAAAAACCAGCGGTATACATTAAATGATTTGTAAAATAGAATATAGTGTTTTATTACACAATTTGATAGTAAATAGAATTTAATAAGTGTTTTATTACATAATAACATCAAATGTTTGCAGTGCTCCACTTGTGGTTGTTGGTAATAAAGTAGATTTACAACATAATTCTCGTCAAGTATCGATGGAAGAAGGGCAAAAGTTGGCTGCTTCGTGGAATGCTGCTTTTCTTGAGACATCCGCGAAAGACAATACGGTTCGTTTCATTGTTGATTTCTTTGCTGTTAGCTATTTATTTGCTTTAAAGTTTGCAGTCCTTCAAATTTATAGTTTTTCAAGCAAACTTTATAAAGTTTGTAGTTTCAAAAATTTATTTCCTTTGTAGTTTTTAATTTGATTTTTTGTTTTTGAATGAATATGCATAAGCTGCGTCTGAGTGAATCTTATTTCATAGGTTTTAATTTATCCATGCAAAAGCGTTCATTGAGTTGAAAGTCGATGATATACTTGACTCGTAGATAGAAGAAGTGTTATTGATGAGTAATGTTACGTAGTTGTTTCGTTTAAGGCAGTTCAACAGATATTCGATCGTCTGTTGAGAGAAATCGAAATAGCGAACGGTAACATGAAACGTCAACAGAACGGTTGTGTTATTTCATGACCCGTCAAGCAGTTTTTTGACAGTGCTGTTTTATGCATTCTCGTTTTTGTTATTGTTGCTATTGTCGATCCATCTCATCACCACATTTTCAACATTCTCTTCGTCATTCTTCGATCAATTTCCTTCGAGTTCCGTAAATGACGAAAGTTCTCATTTCTTTAGTGTGATTGTTTGTGAGTTTGTAATTTCGATACATCAACAAATCCCGGTTTGTATATTGGAGTTTTTCGAGTGTTTTGATTTATTTCTTTTGTGAATTGTTGCTGAAGCTGTATTTTTAGTATGGTTTTACCGAGTTTATAAATTATGTAGCTTGATTGTATGAAAAATTGTGATGGAATGATAGTTTATTGTTCCCTATCAGAAGGTTCAATTCTCAAATAGTGGCACTTTTTTATGATTTGATTCAAGTTCTATTTTTACTCGTCGCTTTGCGGTGAGCTTTCCTTGGAGCTCTCAATTCAGGCATCGCCGGAATTTTTTTCAATACCTTACTGCTGGCATTTGAAACTTGAAAATGAGTTGAGGCATTCTGATAGGATATCGAATTCAAATGGTTTCGTTAAGCTTGTTTAATACGTATATTCATGCTCGTGTTTGCGAAGTTCCTTTATTGATGTTGCTGATTTTTGAATATTCATTTACGACACTGCCATTTCATAGATCTTTCGAAGAGTTTTTCAAGGATTCGAATGAAGAATTGCTGATTTGAGCAGTTAAATTCAATGCTTTCTTCAAATGTCAAATGTCTTCCCTAGTTAGTGAAAATTTCTTGCTCTCTATTGGCTGTCAGTGTTATGGAAGTTTATTGAAATTGATTATTGATTACATTTATCGAAATTGAATATAATGTGTACAGTTCCCATTCATTTGTCGGATGGCGCTTGTCTTTTGCCTGATATCAATTTTCTTGTTGTGTTATTTAACACGAGTGTTGGTTAATGGTTAATGGAAATGGATAGCGTGTTGAATTGATTGGTTTGGATTGCTGTTTGTTTTATTTGATTGAGAAATTTGCCATCCTTCTATCAGTTAGTATGAATATTGCTGTTGAATCTGAAAATTTATTCATTCATTTCGTGTAATGACGTGTAAAAATCATTTCGAATTTTAATATATTCATTGTTATTCATCATTTGATGCATTGTTCAGTTGAAAAAGTTTGTCGTTTCTTAAGGAAATATGCATTTTTGAGGGATCGTTGAGAGTCTCATCTGAATGACATTGTTGTCGCAGACGATTCGACTGAGGAATCTATTCGTTTTGTGTTTTACGTTTTAAATTTCGTCATTTGTTGCTTACAAATGAGAATATTCGCGTATGAATACTTATTGAGTGATGTTTAATTTGTGTGTATAATAATGTTCAGTGATTGCTTTTTTGTTGTTTTTATCGTTCTCATTGTGAGTATCATCATAATTACTATTATCTCGTTATTATGCACCCAGTTTTGTATTTTTTGTTCTGTTTTTTTTTAATTATTTTTTATTTTAATGTAAACAGATGATTATTCAGTTTGTAAATTGTGTTGCTCATTTTGTCATCGTTGATTATGAATGTTTGATTATCGCTGATGTGGTGTTTTGTTGAAGTGGAATGAGAATGTTATTGCTTTGCTTGATATCGTTTTTTGTTAAGTTGAATTGTTCGATTGTTCTGAATTGAAGTTGATTATCGATTACAATAAATTGATTTCCTTTTGCTGTGTCTGTTGGAATTTACCTTTGGGTTTGTCCATCCATTCCACATTATTTTACAATCATTTATTCGGTCATTTTCGTTTCATATGCAGCCAAGTGTTTAAATTTGAGTTAGGAACATTTGCAATTGAGACTATAGCTGAGGATTACGAGGAGAGATAGTCTTGTATTGCCTTATTTGACAGCGAGAACTGGAATTTTCACTTTTATTGTGTAATTAACGTTCTCTTGGGGTGATCCTCATGAATGTCGTTTTAAAGACGTCTTCATCACATGCATTTGTAGATGATACCCGAAAGTGGCAGTATTTTTATGCCTACTACAACAACTGATGGCAATGCCACGTCGACAGGTTACTACTCTATTCTTTGTTCATTGATCATTCGTTCCTTGATTTCGTGACATTTGCAGTGACTTCTGATTTTTGTTAATTTAATAATATTCACGATCAGTCACTTGAACGATTGTCTGCTCGATGAAAAAGGTTTAGTGAAGTGATGGAATGTCATGCAAATTATCCATGAGAATAAACAATTGATGATAGTAATTTGAAAGAGTCTGCATTAAATCTCCCGAATTCATATTCAAAAAAAAAACGGTGAGCACCTATCAAAAGCACGAGTCATTCGTTCACAGCGGTCATTTCCATTGTACAATGATTTCATTACTTCGTATGGTTTTTTCTTGTTTGTTTTTGAAAATTTGAGAGCTGAAGTGAAAATTGCATAGAAGGGTATTGTTATTATTTGGTTGGTAAGAATGAGTGTGAATCTGAGTTGAAACATTTGTGATATTTTTAAAAGTTATCAACAGATGATGCGAATGGACTGACGTCTTCTTCGATAAATATGAACACTCTGAAGCAATCAGTGAGTGGAGTCGTATGCAACACGTTAGTTTTGTGTTGCGTTTCTAGTCATTATTCTTTACGGTTCTATCGTATGTTTTGCATTTTTCTACAATTGCCTAAATTGTTAACGGTGATTTGTTGTATT